CTAATATTCCAAAGAAATATCCTAAGGTTTGTGCTGTTAAGAAGATAACATGTGAAAGGTTAAAGTATTCATCCAATGGGTGTGAATACTTTGGCAGGACAATGCGGTTGAGCCCCCGCCTCATTTGCAAATTAAACAAACTGTGCAGTGATTCAATGCCGCTCCGGTGTAAGCAGGGATTAGTGTGATTTTAAGTGTTTGCCAGGCGCCGGGGCCGGCGTTAGGCACATTAGATGGCTGACTAAGTTGGCATCGGGGCACGCTGCCCCGTGCCAGGCCCTGTTAACAGCAGGTCGGCTCTATTGAGGAGCAACAATGCACATGATCATAATTCGCTCATCAAACTCGGAGGGGGAGCCTGATTGCACACTTCAGCTGGTTTAAAGTTGGTCGGCTGGAATCCCAGAATGCTTCGACTCTACATTCGCATCATGATCAGCTTTTTGTTTCCAATTCCTTCATCTCCATAAACTTGATCAGACAGCGACACGAAATTTCTTTTCTGCAGCAAGCCTTTGCACCCGAATGCATTTTGTTCTGAAAGCAGCCGAATCAGCGCTAAGTGCTTTAACAGCACAGAGACAGGCTTTTGTGCACTGCGTGCTATTGTGTCTAAACCTTCGTGCAACAAAGGCCAAGACTCAACATAAATACAAAATTGTCAAGAAAGCCCTTTTTGGCTTCCATGTTGTGAAAGTCTGAGTGAAAGAGAGGCATTTCAGCAACCAGCTGTGTGGTAACACAACTACCTGACACTGTCTTAAGGAGTTCTTCATAAAGCTTTTAAAGGCTGCACTTGTACAAAAGAAAGAGAGCAAGAAAAAAATATTCCATATCTTAAAGCGAGGCCATGTCTATTCATTAGAACTGTCACAGGCACTGAGGGTTCCTCTGAGTAGCAGGCTGCTAACAGCGTACGGACAGGGGTTAAGTGAGTTGTTCTGCTGCATCGCTCCAGGCTACGTGGCATATTCAGATCAGCCCTGTGCTGCTTAATAGAGTCTGTTCAGCAAACAGAACCCCAGAGAACTCAGGCCCAGTGAGGAGTCACAACCGTTCCCTTTTCATCTGGGTTTTATGTTGATAGCGGATGATTAATTCTGGTTGTTCTCCAGTAGTTAGATTGAGACCTTTGTTCTAAATAGATTACAACCATGAAGTGTCAGAGAAAGACTAATTAGGAAATTATGATTTAATTTCCCCCTAAGCAGGACTCCTTATAATCCCTTTCACCAGGGCAGCCTGGCACTCCTGTGTGTTTTAACAAATATGTAAAATTATGAATTTGTGGCACCTCTGCATTTTTCTACACAAATACTTTTAATTTGGGAAGCTTGCAAGGTCAGGTGAGGGGGAGGAATTCAATGAAACAAATGACTGCTAAAGATGAGAGAGGGATGTCTCTCCATAGGTGAAAAGGGAAGAGAAATAAAAGAAACAGCAGACATCAGGAAAAAAGATGCAATTAAATGAAGATGCAGTAGCCTATTCAAACAATTTCTGAAAAGAGTTTTAAAAAATCTAGAAAAGAGATTTGAGGCTTTAATACTCATCAGTTGTGAAAGCCACAGAAAGAGAGCTCACTTAATGAAGCATTCAGCCTCAGACACCCATGGATCGCCTCGTCTCATTTCGGCACAGCTCATTATGCAGGTAAAAAAAAAGCTGTTGCCCGTCGATCTGCACACACCGGCTCAAATATGGAACAAATTTCTACAGCGCTGCACGGAAAACAGCCCAACAATGCACCCTCAACCATCAGCAATTTACGTGAACACTTTGCAAGGCCTCATTCACACACACTAACACTATGATGAGGAGGGCCTGGCAACGCCGCACACGCTTCTCTTGTCTGATCCAATGAATTGTTCACCATCAATAGCCTTTTTTCATTTACTAGCAGGTATGCTAATTAGAAAAGGAAAAGCTACATTCAATGACAAGAGGTCGTCCCTCAACAGCCTAAAATGCCCTGCAAGAAAACTGGATTAAATATTTCCAAAATTATCAAATCATAGTTGCACTGATCAGGATTTTCTCTTGCCAGTACTTGAACCTCCCACTTTCCTTCAAACATAGACTGCTGATTCCAAAATTTTAATCATTTAGATTTTTCTTTACCGGAGGAATAAATTATATAAAAGTTTAAAACAACATTTCTAAATGTTCTTTGAGAGTAATTATTTTTCGGATTATAAAAAAATCAAATATAGTCCATCAAATTCAGGGTGGGAATTTATAAAATTATAAACTTATATTATGAGGGTTCATAACTGTTCGTCTGCTCATCCAGTGACCATGGATGATCAATTCTTTTTAAGGCGCATTGTGGGAAATTTTAAGTCCACCAATTTTTCATCCACTAGACATTCGGCCACTCATCTAAAATGGCGTAACCACTATATAGTGTCCTATATGGTGACATTCGGATACAGCCCAAGTTTCTTTCTGCAGTTGAGATATTAGCTACTTTACTATTATCACTTTAAGAAATCAACAAAGCTAGAAACAAGCTGTTAGCTGGCTAATTACTCAGGCTATCTGCTCAGGTAGCATGCCAGGCCTCTGCAGTCTTGCACTATTGGCTTGCTACCACTTATGACCAGTTTTATCTTTCAAGACTTTTTGTCCTATGAGAGAAAGGTGCAGATTTCAGCCAGCTGACAGGCCTTAAGCAGCAAGTAAGGGAAATAAAAACGTTTCTATTGAGAAAACACCAGTCACTCTGTACAAAATATAAAAAGCAAGATGTTAGCAGTAATAGTAAGGGGGGGGGGGGTGCTAAACCTTAAAAAATAAACAGAGGAGAGAATAGGATCCTTTTCATGTCTAGGGACTAAAATAAAGGCTGTTGTCCAAATCTTTCAACTTGGATCACTTTAGACTAGACGAGGAAATGTCAAAAAAGTTTTTGAAGCTACACAAACATCCACGCTTTCCTTTTAATTCAGTTCCTGTGCGGTTGATGAGAAACCCAGCTACCTGCCTTTCAACTTCACACCATTCGCTGTACTTCGCCTCTGGCTGTCCAATTTGAGACAACTTTACTGTATCAATAACACAGTAAAACCTCCAAATGAGAGAGATCAAGAGCTCTTGTGATATCATCACGATTACTATCTGCACATAACAGTACAGAGGGGTGTTAGACTGTTTTAGATCTGGCTCGCTTTGGGGAGGGAAGGAGCAAGCCGAGGCACGCTGGCAGGCCTCGGAGATAGGAGCAGGAAAGAAAGGGAAACCTGTGTTTTCAAAGACTAAAACTGTGATCTGACAGGCGAGGGATGAGCCACTTGTAATTTAAGATGTTCAAAGATCTTCTGAAGGGGAAAGAGAAAACAACATAAGCGAGGACGACATGGATGGTTTCACTCTATAAGCAAGGGGAGGGATAAAAACCGTCTTGTCTATGAAAAATTGGGCGTTAAAGTAATCTAATCAAAAGCTTTCCAGTCAGATCAGGGAAGTTATTTTATTGCAAGTTAAAGTAAACTCCACAAATTTATGTCCGGTTCATATTAGTTAGTGTATTTTCCAGTCAAAATAGTTGCAATTAATTATTTTATTAAAAAAATAAACATTTGCATTTTGCTAAGTAATTATTTCTGTTTTACCATAATTCAGAGATACAGTTTATGACTGTTGAACAGTTTCTTTTTTGTTGTTTATTTGATCAAAGGTTTACTGTAAAGATAATCCATATATGGAAATCTATTAATTATTTCACTTTGCACATGGAAATCAGGCTATGATTAATGAGAAAAAAAGAATCAGAAGGAGCTGAAATTTTAACAAATGGAGATCATCTGACTTTCTTATGGTTTTACTCCTGGTAAACACAAGATATTAAATATCAAAAGATGATCAGAATTAAATCATTTTAGATAACAATTTGTATTTTAGCTCCTTACTATGAAAATACAGAGAATTATGTTTATTGAATTAAAATAAAACCTCTGCATAAAAGATCTGTGTAAAAAAGAAGGTAATTACACCATCATGATGAGAATATAAAAGCATGTAATGGTTAACTTCTATAATGAAAACTCAGAATAAAGAATTTGTCATAGTACATTTTTGTTTTAAGTACATGTAAAACCCAACTACATAAATAGTTAGCTAATCTGCTAAAGGCAACGCTTAGCATAATTTTTTTAATGTTTTGCTTTTATATATATATATATATATATATATATATATATATATATATATATATATATATATATATATATATATATATATATATATATATATATATATATATATATAAATATATGAATATACCCTGAACTATTTACTCAAATTTGTACTTTTCTAGAACTTCCAGCAAATTCTAATACAAATATGCAGCCATCTAAAGTTAAAAATGTGGAAAATAAAGGGGTGTTTTTCGTGCATATTTTAAGACACAAAGGCCAGTACAGTATTTGAATTATTTATGTTCTTAACTCTGTCACTTATTCTGTTATTCTTATACCCTTTATTAAGCTCCACATTTGTGTGACTTCCTTAATCTTTTTTGCTCTTGTAACACCACAATTTTACTCATTGTGGGACAATAAAGGGATCTTCTACTGTATTTCTATCCTACTTAATTAGCTAAATTTGTGTATACATACACAACAGTATTAATAATACTACTGGTCATAATAAATATTTTGTTAACTGTATGTTTGATTCAGAATCAGTAAATACCTTTAACTAAAAACAAAACAGAGCTGTTGATCAGGATAATCATCTTACAACATTTTCATGTATTGATAAAGTCCTTATATTAAGAAAATCTAAGAGTTGAATATCTTTTGTTTCTGTGACTGTATGTATTCAGTTATAGACAACAAGCGATGTTGTCCAGTGAAACAGTGGCCACACCATTCAGCATCCAGGAAGGTGTGCAATGATAATAACTGACTTTTTTAACCCTGACAAAGACGACAGAAATGGGTTTCAGAGATTAAACCCACACAAACGATTTCAAAAAGCTAATTGTTTTCTCTCACCATCTTGTTCGGACTTGGTCAGCTCCACAAGCTTCTTCTGTTTCAGTGTATCCACCACATCAGCCAGACTTCCTTTACGCCGCTCCGGAGTCCCAAAGGCCAGGCCGATCACAGACTCTCCTCGATCTCTGGAGCACTCCTCTGGCTTGGTAGGAGAGGAGGAGTTAGTCCGGTAAGCGTAGCCAGAGCAGCCTTTGCTGCATTCATTGTCCTGAGAAAGAAAAAGATGATCAGAGATTAAATTTAAAGTCACAAATGATAAAAGATTCACGGAGAACTTTGGAACCGATTGAAACCAATCTACATTCACATTTATTAGAATTAAGTTTCCACACAGAAAAAGCTTCAGTAAAAAAAAAGATGAAACTGCCTGAAGCCAACAAAGCTGTGATGGGCAATGCTGAGTGTGGCTGCATTGGATCGTATGCACAAACACACCAGTGTGTAACTGGTCATGTGTGTAGGAGTATCCTGACTATCACTTATCCAATCTTGGAGCTGGCTGAAAATATTGTCAGTTTCAATGCCGCTATGTTGTGATCAGGCTGTAACCTAAAAGCCCGTCCTATAAACTGGTCCCTAGCTTGGGATGGAAGGGGCCTAAAGCACCAACCGGTTCCAATAAAGAAAACAACTCATTAGTGGATGCTGTTACTGAGTGAAGACTTGGACAGAGGCTACTGTTGTGTATTAATCTGCACTAATCATAAGATAAAATAAAGTTAATGTTTTATAAGTTTAAAGTTGTTTTCCCAAATACTGTTATAAGAGCAATTCAAGGCCAAAATGAGGAAAAACAGAGCAGTGAGAGCCATTCAAGGCCAAAAAGGAGAAAAACAGAGCAGTGAGTGTGCACCTGGTCCAAAAGGAGTGGAATCTGCAGGACAACGCAGGGTTGAGGCCCCTTAGTGATAAGAAAGCACACTCAATAAAAATGAAATATTTGACATCTCAAGGTTGCCCAGCTCAGCAAAATTTGGCCATACAAAAAGAGTTGTTATTTTCAAGGCACACGGAGCGGTAATGGTCCCAGAAAGGGTGATGCTTTGACTAAGACACGAGGGGGGAGCAGTAGGCCAGACTGACATGGCTTGAAGCAAGGGAAAGATGTGTTCTGACATGTTTGTGACTAAACCGTCATAAGTTTCTGATTTGAATGCACCAGATGTTTTCATGGCCTGAGAGATTGCTCTCACAAGAATGAGATGTGTCTATGAATGTCACCGTGTTTTGCAGATAAATATCAATGTGACCTTTACCAAAGACTGAAATATGTTCTGAAGGGGTTTTTCCACCGATAAGAAAAGTATAAAAGGGAGCTGTGTTCACCATTTGTTCAGCTTCGGCTCATCGGTGACCAGCTCAGTGTAAATGTGTTGTGTTTAGCAATAAAAACACTGGACCCGGACTCAGCTGCCTCTGCCTAAATTTTTTGATCTTTGTTTGAGACTTTTTCTGCTTTTTAAGAACTTTGAATTTTTATAAAACTTAGCTTCAATTTTAAGTCGTCAAGAAGAGAATTATAGATGACACTACCATTATTAATGAGTTGTTTTTTTTTAAAAAGGAAGTTAAAGGAACCAAAAAGCTCTAAAATAAAATTCTTAAAAACATGTATATAATGTTATTCAGGAGCTAGAGAGCAGAACTGTGAACAGATAACAGGAAGGCTAAACAAAGGATTGCAAAGTCGCTCTTGTATCTCACTGAGCTTTCATATACCTGAACCAGAACATGCTTGATCTGGAAAAGCTGGCAGCCTTGAAAATCTCCGACTCCCTCACAAAGGGGTTTATAAAGTTTGCCTGACAGGCTATTTTCATCAAAATCATTTTTCTTTTTTCTGTAGGCCCCAAAATGCTATTAGAGGATTGTAAAAATTGTTTGCAAAATAAATGAGATTTTTTTTTCTGGCCCAATTGATCTTGTAAACTTGTTCTGAGTTGACACCACTGCTCCAAACATTCAGAGCACACACAGAGACAGCTGTATAGAAATGCTAATGAGCTAACTAAGGTATTCTCTCATATAGGATGCAAAAACGAGTTTGAAATTTTAAATCTATATTACATAAATTTCTCTTTGTTTTGAAATAATAGATCTTAAACCCACACTATGATGATATGCTGACATTTATTTTTCCCATTAATGCCCATTATATCTTACTGGATTGATATTGCTATTATATTTAGGACTACCTTTTACTACTGACAGGATGATGATTACAGTAACTGATTTACTAGTTATCAGGAATGCAATGGTCACACCCTGATCTTTACATTTTTATTCTGAAGGTTTTCAGCACATTGTGATCAGTTTTGTGAAGCTAGAAGAATTACTTGAGAGTATCTCAGACTTAAAGTGAGGGGAAAAAACACTCAGAAATAGTTGTGAAGGCACTAACCTTTCTCTACAAGACATTAGAAACGTGGAAATATCTAGATAATTCTAAAGTATATGCTTACCTCTATGCATCAGTGAAGGTGTGATCATTATTATACCTCAACCTTACAGTAGAAAGACTTTTTTTTACAATGTCTATTGATTTCTGCCTTAGGAAAAATAATTAAGGGTCCCACTGTTGTTTTCCTTTGATTTAAAAAAAAGAGTCTATAATTATTGAGAAGATAATCCTCTCTACATGACCACATTGTCCTACACAACAGACACTTCAGCACAGGTGTCCCAACACCGGAGCTATTTCAGGATGCTTTCTCCACCCCCTTACAGAGTGAGGGGATCTCCGAGAACCTTCGGAGGCTTATGTTTCAAAGACAACAGGCTTTGCTGAACAGCAAGATCTTAAGATGCCCTTTAAATGGCTCCAAAAAGGGGCCCTGCTGTACACTTTGTCTTTAAGCAGGAGATACCTTTGTAATGAGAATTGGGGGATAGCATGTCACAAGAGGATTGTTTAAGAACATTTCTTCCCTGCATGCAAGGAACGGCAAACAGTGGTAGATCTAATGAACGGATGGCTAACAATGATGGAGGCTTTATACAAAAGTATTAAAACTCTTTTAGCTCTTACGTAATGTCACAAACAGCTAAGCTGGATTTCATTTTAGGTTTTGATTTTTGCAGTATTGAGCACCGTTGAGCACCGTTTCTGCCTTCCTTACACAGCAAACATGTGGGAGGAGCCACTCTGTTACCACAGGAAAGAAGAAGCTATTTGTGATGTATATGTTATGGAAAACCTTCACTGAATACGAGAGCCAACACATCATCCCCATAATGAAACATGGTGGTGGCAGCATCAGGCTTGGTTGCTTTTTGTCAGAAAGGACAGAGGAGCTAATTGGTAACTGCATTTGTTCTCATCGCTGTTTACTCTGATAAACCTTTAATATACTCCCTTCCAACCAGCTGATCACAGGAGTCAATTAATTAATTTCTAAGGTTGACCAATGTTTAGTTTTATATGAAGTCAGAATTCTGTTACAGTAGCAGCCATTCAAAATGGCCCTTCCCAGTCAAACGCCAGCCGAATGGCAGCCCACTTCCCTGCAACTCCCAGCAAAATCCCCTTCAACTTCCAGCCACTGGAGTGACCCCAGCTTCTCCTGGGCATGCATATTTTTTTTACTCTGTCTCCGACCTTTCACTGAGTTACAGGGTCTGAGGAGGTAACACTTCTCTTTAGATCTTAATGTTCACAAATCATAACAGACAGAATATTTTAGAACAAAGAGTGATGTTTAAAAAAGGAGACTTAGGGGACTAGCCAAGGGCCCATCAAGGAAAGTGGGGATTTTTGAATGGCTGCTACTGTAAAAGTGCATATGTGTGAAAAAATACTCATATGAGCAACTTTATTTAAAATATACACAGGTACTCTCCATGAGCATTTTGAATGTTCTTTGTCTGTAGATTCAACACCATGAGGCCCTGAGTATGTCACAAGCATGGGGCTTCTTCTTTTTGATCACCTGGATCTGTTTATTTGCTCTCATGTTACCTTTTGTCACTTTGAAGGAGCCTACTATAGTTCTATCTTGTTAATACTAGTAGCGTTAGCAATGCATCTTCATTCAGGCTAGTTGCTGTTCTTTTCAAGAGTTAAATTCTGAATTCATATTCTACAGCATCTCTTTCATCAACTGACCCTTTTGCAAGCACAGCACTGGACATAAATACAAACCATACAGTATATATTTATATTTATACATAGATAACTGCCAGTGTGGATCCTTAGGCAAGGCCCTTTACGCTAATGCCTACCTCATACAATGATGAGTGACAATAAAATGAATGACATGCTGGCTCATACGTCGCCTGGCCAAACAAGGTTTGTGTCAGATGTTGGGGAACTAGAACACTTTGATGTAAAATGGGTTTCTGGAACAAGAGGGAAATGGGTGGGATGTGATAACATGGCTCTGTTGGAATGCAACTACTTCAGTAACCCTAGTCGGAGGGGGTACATGCAAAGGATGTAGGAGAAATGTTTCTTCGAAACCCAAATTCCAAACTCCCGGCGAAACAACTAGTACCGTAACTCAATGTCCCAATATCCATAAACAGCAACTGCTCTCACAACTTGAGATTGACATGATACAAAACCACTGTTCTAGCAAGGGGGGACCAGGACCCCAAGTCAGATGGGAGTTGACACCAACCCCCCACCAGAGATTCGGTACAATGCCCCAATAATGAGGCAGCACCTGACCTGAAAAATAAGATCATGGCAAAAATGTCCACCAGTCAACCCCGAATCCAGTTACATAGATCAGGTGAAGAAGCATCAGAAAGTCTACTAGAAGAGGTGAATGCAGCCCTGCAAGCAATTCCTACACCAACCGACTGACACCAATGAGCTTATATACTGCACAGCAGCAGTGATCCTAGAGATGATTGGCTACAAGAACAACCATGTGATAAACTATCCACAATGAACAGGAAGGCTGGAGGCTAATATCAAGGCAACACAGAGAAAAGTGACTCAATTAATAGACGCCCTAAAAGGTGCAATGATCTCCCCCTCAGCTCTGGAGCAGCAGGACACTGTTGGTGAGCCACTATAAGAAATCCCTGTTGAGCTTTGAGCCTCTATCTATCGAAGTTAGAAGTGAGAAAGTAAAGCCCTGATTGGATAACACACTAAAAAAACGTCACTTCCAATGAGGCTAAATTTCTTAAGGGGTGGCCGAGGAAGTTCCTAATTTTTCCAGAGGCAAAGGTGATTGTTCAATCAGAACAATCATCTTTGGGTTTTTTTTTGTCAAAGTTGGTTGTTTGTGTGTGTGTGTGTGTGTGTGTGTGTGTGTGTGTGTGTGTGTGTGTGTGTGTGTGTGTGTGTGTGTGTGTGTGTGTGTGTGTGTGTGTGTGTGTGTGTTGGGGCTGCAAATGGATTTCTTCTCAGAAACAATAATGAATTTCAAATCAAATCACCCAAAGTTAACAGACCAACTCATGACAGGACTTGAAAAAGCATGTTCAGACTTTACAGCTGAACTGATTTTTCACTGTTTAGAAAAATAATCAGTCTGTAGCTGTGCACAGGTGGGATGGATAAACCCCCACATGACCTGCGGCAGCAGATCCAGCGATAAATGTTCTACAGTAGTTTTATCTCAATTGTTTTTTTCCTCCCTCATCATTTATCTATTTTATCTATTTTTTCTAAGCAAATATCTTGAACAGTTTCTAAAAGCAAAACATGTTATGATTTTACAAGACACACTTTACCTTTAGTCAAAGAAACTGGATTATGTAACCGTCTTACTGACTTCATGGACTCGACACGTTCTTCTTCTACAACTTTGTTATATTTATGGGACAAAAAATATCCACAATTCCACTTTTAAACTGACTTTTTCAAAGCTTTCCCAGGATTCTGGAACATTTTTACCTTGAGGCAGCTTTGAACATTTAATACTGAAGCACCAACAAATCAAAGTTTCACTGCACTCCCAAACAATGCTTAATGTTAAAAATGATAAGATGTAGAGTTATATTTTAGATCCACTTATAATTACACGCGCCAATCGTGCATCTATTGCAATGCAGCAATAGATGAATATATACTGCACATCTAGGAGTTTTAAAAACAGTAACACGCACCTTTGTGTTGGAATAGTGATGTGTGTTTAACTACGAGTATGACCAGCAGAAAACTTTCCCTAACTAAGAAGCTCAAGTGAATCCTGCCTCATCTATTGGGAACCAAAAGAACCTAAAGCCGAATAACCAGAACACACACATCCACCTGAGAGCACGCTGTGGAGATGAAGAAAATCTAGGGGTATAGCTCTCCAGAGGAGGACCCTAACAGGTCAGCCTGCAGCACCGCCTGCAGCAAACAGGCTACTGCTGTGAAAATGTGTGTGTTCACTCTGGGTTAGTGTATATATATGGATATAAAAGGGTGCACACAAGAGTGCACAATCATGATTATGCATGAGAATTTGCAGACCCTGGTGCGCCCCCAGCATGTACTTCATGGGTGTTTTATGAGCTGCGTGCCCCAAGTGTGTTCACTGTGTACACACAGCAACGGCATATAGTTTATAGAGCTGAGTTATAGCCACATATCTCAGTGTACGATATGGTCCATTTCTTTTCACGTCTCACCGTCCCAGTGGGGGGAGCGGATGTTTCCCACTCAACGTCTGCTGCTTTCTTCCCGGCGAGCTGGACGTCCTCCGGGTGGGGTTGATCGTCCAAAGGGGGCGACGCCATCACCGTCGGACCTTCTCGCTCTTCTCCGGCCCAGGCCGCGTTGTCCTGACCCATCAGATCCGCCTCCTCAGACGACGGGTGAAAAGGAGGCGTTGCTCGCATGGAAGACATCATTCTGTAGATTTGGAAATGAAAATAAAGGCAAAGGTTAATATCCTTAATGTTTTAATGTGTTTCATCAACTAAAAGGTAAAACTTAAACTTAAATTTATCAAAATGTCATATGCTCAGTCTTTTTGTTCTAGCAGAGGTGGAATTCAAACGGTGCTATTTTCAACGTACCTCTGAGCAAACTGCTCTGTTACATGACTTGAATTTTATTTTTATTTTACATCTCATCATGTTGCAACCATGTATATGTTAAAACAGCACAGATCACCATATAATTGTGAGTTAAAGGGTGAATTATACAGTTTTCCTAGCTGCAGTGGAGTCCAACTGTTTTTATTGACCTTTAAGGCAACTCCATAAAATCAAGAGCTTGTAGAAACGGCCCGTTATGGAGTTAATTTTGTTCCATTATTGTTGGAAGCAAAGAACACATTTTATAAATGGAAATTGAAAAAACTACAATCTAGAAAGGAAACTTAAAAGCTTCTTAATGAAAAGAGGGTTTTACAGTAACTTTGCTGTTTTTATAGACTCTTTAAAAAAAATAATATAAAAGAAAAAAAAATCCAATATAATTTTTTTTTTATTTCTATTTATCTATGATTTCATTAGAATTTTATGTTTTTCAGAATTACAAATTGCCTTCTTTTCTAATCATATTTTACAGATCACATCTCTTCATTTCTCTGGGAAGGCTTTCCTGGACATAAGCGACAAAGTTTTTATCGGTTAATGCGACTATCAAGAGATAGTGTTTGTTTTGGGCTTGAGAGAAAAAAATGTGATCTTAGAAACGCCATTTGAAAAGAATGCAATTCATAAAACTTAATCTGAAAAAAAAGAGAAATTCAGTGTGAAAATATGAAGTCTGTAAGAAAAAATTTAAAAAAGAAAATGTGAAAATCTAAAACTTGTGAAACTAAATATGACAACAAAAAAATTACATATAAATAAAAGGCAAACACGTCCAAACCTTTTTGATAAAGTAAAATTTCTGCATTTTTCAGACTTCCATTTATGAATAGAGTTCTTTGCTTGAATAAATAATGGAAAATAATGTACCCCATACACATTTAGCTGCAGGTACAGCTTCCAGTTTTTAGGAAACTTCTTTGTCCTGCAGAAAGGTGATTCTCTTGTAAGGTTTTGATGTCCTGGACAAAAATGCTGAATAACCCTAAGATTCACCATGGTGAGCTTATTATTCTAAGAAAACTCTAAATGACAACATAAAAAGAGCAGGTCACAGGTACAAACAATGGGGAAAACAAAATCTACTAAATTAGCTCCAGGTTCATGCTAAATGAGAGTATTTAAAGGTGAAAAAGGAAGAAGCTATCCAAAAAAATAAAGAATAAAATAACTGAAAACAATGGCAAGATGTACAAATTTATAACAGAAGGAAAAATCCTGACCTTTAACTGAATACCTAACACCTGTACATTGTCTTCTTCCTCCAGGTCTGCCCTGTTTTTTACTCAATCCATTGGAATCCCTATCCTTGGTTAAGAAAAGCATTACCCTATCATGATGTTGCCACTCCCATGTTTCGCTGTAGGGTGGAGCATTCAACTTTCACTGCAGCGTTAGATTTTGCATCACACACTGTGTTTTATATGTAGGTGAAAAAGTTCCCTTGTCTTCTGCTTCACCGTGCCACTGTTTTGTGTTTATGTCATATCAAAATACATCGAATTTGGTGGCTTTGAGGAGACGAAACAAGAAAACATGGAAAAATAAGCCTGCATGAATGCTTTTGGAAGCAATTAACAGGATAACAACAAAAGCATTTCAACTAAACCTCCTTTTCGTAGATCATACAAACCAGATCATACCTCTTATATATAATTCACATATCCTCCCAATGACATACATAGCCTGTTAGTGATCTCAAAGTTTACCTTGAAGAGAGTATGGAAAACACAGCAGAGCTGTGCTTAAGGTTGGAAAATGAATCCAGCATAAGAGGTTTAGAGAAAATCTACATTAGTCAGTCATACAAGGCCAAACACAAGCATTTGAAAATAAAACAGGCTCAGTTTGCTTTATACTAGAGTGAAGAACTCTTAAACCAACTAAACACTCCAGGTAGAAAAACACTTTGGTATAAAATAAAATAAAAAACATATGGTAACTAAAATAGGGTGACATAAAGGCTAAATATTCTAATTATAGCTCACACATTTATAGAACGTGTCCCATTTTGGTATTTATAAACTAACTTGCATTCTTAAAAACTCTGTTAATATGTAAACATGAGTAAGCTGTTCCTAAAATATGTTACATTAACATCGTTACCATCGGTTCCATCAGAGAGAAAGTTTATGATTATAAGAGGAAGACTATTTATTGTCAGCACAAACTTTATTTTAAGAAAAGCTCAACTGAATTATTGCCCTTGTATGGAGTGAATGTTGCTCCACTTTTGCTAAAAGAAAAAAAAAAACATGGTTTGAAAATACAAAAAACATAAAAAAGCAATCTAGAAATGAAATTTTGAAAAACGTCTTAATCAGAAAAAAGGTTTTGAGAGTAAATTTGCTTTTTTCTCTGATCTTATTTTATTTTTTTCAAATATACATTTTTGAAATATTATTTTTTAACTTTTTTTAATTTGTTAAACAAACTTGAGTTTTCAAAGTTTCATATCATATATTCATATTGCATTCATTTTTTTTTTTTTTTTTATCAAATTCACATTCACAATAATGGAACAATATTTACTCCATACATTTATTTCTTGTGTTGTTAGCCAAGAAACGCAGTTTTAAAGAATCCAAGCTCAACCTGCTTGCTTCTTGATGACTGAAAAGGAATGTCTACATCTAAAAACGTCAGTTTGGATCTGTTTTGCTCTGACCAATAAAAACATTGCAGCATAATGTCTGAATACCTTCGACTTCCGTGAAAGCTTTAACATCAGTGTTGCGTAAATCAGCGTGAGCTGTCTGTTTGAAATATGGAGCGCCTTGGGTGCCTTTAAACAGAAGTATGACCTGTTAAAAAGGCAGGAACAGGTTTCCTCTCTGCATGTGTTGGGGTAGAAAGGATAGTGGGATTCGATAATAGAATAACCCTACAGGTGAAAAAGAGATAGATGTTGAAAGATGGCTTAACTGGAGAGTAAATATGAGGACAGTGTAGCACAGCAGGATTTATTTCTGGGTTTTGACTTTGCATCACATACTTTTTTGACCATAAATTTCTGTGCATGTCACATTTTAAGGTCTTCTATGGAAAGCACCGTCCAAAGATTCTGCAATGCAGGTTAAATTAGAGGAGGGGTCATGGCTGATATGGCATGAAAAGTGAAACTTGCTCCACTCTGAAGAAGGTGGAGAACCATTAATAGAGCACAAATGCTTTGACACACATCTTCTTTCTGGCCTGGAACAAACTGTATAATTAGCTTGTAGTGTTAAGAAACATTTTACGTCATTTGCTTAATCGACCTTAGGTTTAATGTTTTGGTTGAGACGAGGTATTTATGATGAAGAAAAGCAGACATAGAAGTTAAAATCACATCCAAATTACAGTTTCTTCTGTCACACCTTATGGCTTATGGCTAACTGCAAACTGGACGTTTTTGTCACCACTACTCCTCCATAAAAGACCCATTTGTGAAGCTTAGACCTGTAATTAGTGAAGGGAGTCCATATTGGCCTTTTGTTTTATCAAAACTTATGTTGAGCTCTTTATGCCAAAGGCAAAAAGACAATTTAGGCAATTATCCATCACTAGCATCACCACAGAGTCCGAGTTAGGGTCATATTTCTGTGGGGTTTTTTCTTGTATAGGTATTGGCCGATACATGCATGCGTGCGTTTACAGATTAAGTAGAGCATTCAGCAGCCATGCCTTCAGATCATGTGAAGGGCATGCATTGCTGCTCCCTCCATCTGCTATCCACTGTTAATGTTTTCGTTGATTATTTTTTTGTCTAAACTGAAACCTGTGTAGCATTTTTATCAAAAATATCGCCGGTATTGAGAATCGGCTACACTGATGTCAGAATAATCGATCGTATTGTAATGTCAGCTTTAATCAGGGGTAAAAGTATTTCTTTGTCTGCACAGAATTTCAGAGAACATGATCAAATCTCTTAATTATGACTTTATCGTCTCAGTAATCGTTATCGTCAAGTACTGAAATGTAAGTATCTGTACTCATATAGGAAGTCTTGTAGTTATTTTTGCTTTTATCATCTTTAAGTTTAATAAATTAGTAATTTGTGGCCGTTTACAGCAACAAACCAGGTATCATTAAAAAGGTTTTACTTTATACTGCTAATGGAGTCAAAATAAAAAAATTGAGCTACTTTTCACTTCATTTTTTTGTGTGTGTGTGTGTGTGGGCATGTATTTCTTACAGCACGCGGGACGCTTTTCCATAAATCTTAGCACATCGTGAGGACAGAGTGCTCTAGTGGGGACCAATGTATGATCCCCAAGGGTACAAATTCTTTTCTAGGGTTTAGTGTTAGGTTTAGGAGTAAGGTGTGAGTTGAGTGCATGTTGGGGTTAGGGTTAGGTATGAGGCCATTATGGTTAGGGTTAGGGTCACCATTAGGCTATAGAAATGGGTTAGAACTTAATGGAAGTCAATTGACAGTCCCCACGAGGATGGAGAAATGTGCTTGTGTGTGTGTGTGTGTGTGTCTGGGCAGGGAGGCTTTTTATAACTGATAGTTTTATAACCATCACATTTCATAACAAACTTGCCTGCAGGTGTCATCTTCCCTTCACACAGAGGCCGTTTCGATGCTTCAGAACAAGCAGGCTCAGACTTTACACACCAATATGAGTACTTGAGATATTAACCCAGGAGGCGAGCAACAACTTACACTAGTCCGTGATCAACTCATGGACTTCATAGAGGAGCGATGAGGGAGCGATGGGGAGCCCAGGAGGGAGAAGACAGAAGAGGGACTATATTTAGCTGACAATATTGCTGCTGCTGCTGTGTTTATGAGGGGGGGCTTGAGACTTGGTTTCTTGGAACCAG